CATCCACTTGATCCATCGCTTCTTGAACTCGGCAAAAAAAACCTTGTCCTCGCTGAAGTTTGTCATGAACAATTTCTCCTGCAGCATGACAACGACAGCATTTGTGACCAGTTCAAGCGGCAAAAGGATTAGTGTCACCATGGCAAAACAGCAGAAGCAGCAGCAGCAGCAGTACTGGCGACAAGCACCAGCCGTTACAGCAGTGAAAGGTACCAGCACGACAAGCAGAGGGAGGTGGTAGCAGCAAGCGGGTGCGGAGAAATGCGGGAGGGAGCAATCAGAAAAAAACGTGAAAATTCGAGATGTTGCAAACAACCACGGCCGTTCACACAGCTGCAGCAGCAGCTGTGAGTACGGTTGCCTTCTCGCCAGAATCCCACTCTGTTCCAAACTGCAATACTCAGGCCAGCCACCACTTACCATCGGTTCAGATAGGGTAGTTCGAACGCGTTCTAGGACCGCCGCGAAGTACGTCTTGGGATCCTTGCGGATAGTTTCCAACTTGAGCAGCAGCAGGCGAGAGCAATCAGCAACCTCCACCAAACGCATCCCAGGAAACAGCCGCCGACCGACCCCTTCGCCCTTCAGAAAGAACCCGCCCTTGCCACGAATCCAATTGTTCGCCCAGTCGAACAACAGCTCCCCGAGCCTTGCCGTGAACACGACATGCACACGAACCAAAGGGTTTCGAAGCATGTACGCCGATTGGAGCCAGTAGTTTCTGAACGTGGTCTTGTTGAGGTAGCGAGCAGCGTACTCTCTAACAAGCTTTTCCACCTGCTCTCAGCGGTCACAGGGGAGTTTGGCCCCGTCCATAACCACCATCCAACGCGTCTCAGCAGATCTGATGAACTTGATGAGCTAGGGCTTGGCGTTCGGGAACTGCTCCTCCACTACCCTTTTCCACCGCTGAAAATTTGCGTTCGAGGATTCCGAGCGGCTTGTGCTGTACCAAACCATACCAAGAAGGGAGAAAACATGGTCGCGCTCCCACTCATGCCAGGAACCCTTACCAAGCGGGCCCATGAAGTACAGGCTGGTCATGCCGGCAGTGATAGAGATGTGCAGGATGTGTACAACACACCCCAGACGATGCGCATGGATGATCGACGGCTCAACCTCGCTGCTGCCGCCGCCGCCGCCGCCGCCGCCGCTGCCGCTGCTACTGCTGCTGCTGCTGCTGCTGCTGTTTTTTCAGCAGCAGCGGCGGCGGCAGGTGTCTGCGTGGCTTCAACGCCCGGCTGCTGCTCGGGTGTGTCATGAGGCATGTGTTCTGGAGTGGGACCGCGCAAAGGTGTTGTGTTGTGTCCCACAGCAGGGCACATCAGAGCACACACACAAGCGGCGCCCTCGCGCGTGCGCGTCAGGTGCTTTTAGGGAGCTTTCGGACCGTTCCGTGCAATTTTATCGGTCAGTCGAATTTCCATCAGGAAGATCCGAGGTCACTTTTTCAATTTTTTTCCTATACAAGCTGGTTCAGGGAAATGGATACAAGAAGATTCAACAGCAAAACTTCACGCCGTTTTTTGGAGTTAGACTCTGAAACTTTGCACACATGTACCTTGGGTCATTAC